GTGTGTGTGTGTCTGTTTGTGCGTGTGTGTGTTTGTGTGTTTGTGTTTGTGTGTGTGTGTTTGTGTGTGTGTGTGTGTGTGTGTGTGTGTGTGTGTGTGTTTGTGTGTGTGTGTGTGTGTGTGTGTTTGTGTGTGTTTGTGTGTGTGTGTGTGTTTGTGTGTGTGTGTTTGTGTGTGTGTTTGTGTGTTTGTGTGTTTGTGTGTTTGTGTGTTTGTGTGTTTGTGTGGTTGTGCGTTTGTGTGGTTGTGCGTTTGTGTGTTTTTGTGTGGTTGTGTGTGTGTTTTTTTGTGTGTGTGTGTGCGTGTGTGGAGACGTTCTAAGGATGTGCGCTTGTGCCATCGAATGCCGCGGGCCCATGCCCGCTTGTCACCCACAGATCCCAGGCTTAATGCCTCGGCATGCCTCAGCAGTTCAGCAGTCCATGCCCGTTGTTGATTGAAGCGAAGTAGGCTGCGAAGACGAGGGAGACGATGGCCTGTGTTAAACGAGATAGGCTTGAGCTCTCAGACTCACTGTCGCCCCGCCTGCAGCTTCATGACAATGTTCAGGGCAGGGCCAGAGGTGTCCTGAAAAGCAGAAGCATCACTTGGGTAGTTTTTGTTTGAGGCCAACCCCTCCTTGAAGGGGTCGCCCACGGTGTCGCCTTGCACTGCTGCATCATGCGCCTCCTTCGCCTGACATTGAGCCGATCCAAATCCCTGGTACCAACTGGAGGCCATGGTCATTCCCTTCACATAGTCACATGTCGATGGGCATCCCTGGGTAAAGTAGGTAAACGGTTGCTTTGACCACGGCACATCGGTCGAAGCCTGCCTTAGGCGCTGCGGCAATCTCCTCAGGGGTCTTGGGGTTCTTGGTGTAGCGCAGCCTCACACAAACAGAATTCCTTGCTTGGCCGGCTGTCTTGCAATAAGCCTTTCCCTGTCAAAGCCCCTCACTATGCAACACACCTGCTTGTGCCAGGTCGCTCAATGTCATCGGAGAAGCCGTTCTTGATGTACTTCTTGCCTCAAATCCCTCCCGAAGCCCAATGGTTGTTGGCTTAAGTGGAACAAAGGAAGCCCGCCATTTTGGGGGGCGGGGGTCCGCCTATTTTGATACGTCCCCAACTGCATCATGGCGCAGTTGGCGCATCTTTGCATGCGGCCCAAGGCGCAGTTGTCCCACGCACCGCCGGAATTGGACATGGAGATGGCCAGCTGCACAGAGGAGCCCAGCGAGCCGGTCAGCAGGCCGAAGACTGCCTGCGCTTTGGAAACAGCCCCCTTCAAACCCCCTCAACTGATTCCGGCAACACTAGTCAAAGAGACTAGCTCATGCGACTCATGCACCTTTGGACCCTCCAGGAGTTGGTTGGGAGTTCCTGTGGCCCGAGACCGGACAAGTGGGGCTAGCCAGGAACAGTTGGCTTATCCGAGTTCATGACATTGCGGCGCCTCAAGTCGTCTACTTGCCCCCATGTCTTAATGCGCACCAGGATGGTTTCAACAGATTCTTGCTGCCAGCTCTGCCTGCACGCCGAAGAAGGTACCGGCCAGCAGTGGGGACAGGATCACCAAGCAGGCCGGGGCCACCATCTCCCGCAGCGAAGCCTGGACGTGATGGGTTTGCATCTCAAGATGTGGGAGACCTCCAAAATAGAAGGTTGTCTTGCACAGGGTTCCTCCATTTTCCCTTGAACGTCAACCCCACGAAAAGGAAACTCGAAACAAATTGACCCAACTGGCCCCCTACAAGTCACCACCACTAAACGCTGGGTCAAAGGGAACTCTACTTGGACACTCATTCATTATGATATAGCCATAGCCAAAAAGGTGACGTTCACATCAGTCGCTGCTTCAACTTTGTTTGTTTCTTGCACAAATGGGCTCCTGCTGTGTCCTCATGAACTCCTGCCGTCCCTTTTTCTTTCTTCGTTAGCCTGCCTCAGTGGAGATCTGGATGCAGGTCTTTGAGTCCGGCTTCAGCTCGGTGCTGCCCTCCAGCAGCGTCTTGCCCTTGGAGTCCTTCACGCTGAACTGCCTACGCTCCGCTCGGCGCTCGGCTTCGATGGAAATGAAAGGCAAAGAGCGAGTGAAATCTCCCCTCAAAGAATCAGGAACTATCAGGAACTATCAGGAACTATCAACAGCTGGCACTGCCACTGTCGCCCTTTCATATCATCTCATGGGTCTCAAAGTAAAAATGGTGAACCCTCAAAATGGATGGTTTCCATCTCATGTCCTCTTTCTATCAATCCGCGCAAAAAACACTCACATTGATGTGCTCAGTTCCACCGTGCCTCTTCACCTCGGCCACCATCTCACCGGCTGCCTTCAGTGGCGAGAGCAATGGGCAAAATTCACAGCCCAACAACCCCCCCCCCCGGCCCGAACCATGGAAGAACCATGATAAAGGTTGCCCTATGCATGAGGTTCTGGGTATCACGACACATCGCACTTGGGTTTCTATCCGACCTCACTGCCATACAAACCTCTAACCCTGCCTGACCCACAGACTTCATGGTGAGGGCGGCGAACCAGTACGGGACCATGCAACCGATGATGAGGAATGCGAAGGTCACGGGCTCCAAGATGTTCACCTCATTGACCGTCCCGAACTGCCATGCATCTTCCTCGCCTGTCCTTGATACCTTTCTGCCACATGGTCATATCACACAACTTGTTCTTAATTCCGACGGACTTTGGATGCCTTGACTTTGCGCTCCCTGTGTGTATCCAATTCCCGGAGACCTGCGATCAAGGCACTCCCGTCTTGACTCGCAGGCGGATCACGAAGGCACCGTACAACGCCAAGGACACCAGTGCAGCAGAGCCAATGGCAAAGCCCTGCAGACGGCACGCGCATGGAGTGATCAAAAGTTTAGGAGTTTCTCCAAATCCATCACTTGAGCGAAGCGACTGAGAGGTAAGTATACTATAAGAACTCCTGCTTCAACCCCCCCCCCCCTATTTTCCCGCGTGTGTGCTTGAGTGCAGGTAGCTTCTCACACCACGAGGGCGTTTTTTGCCAACAATGAGGTGTCAAATTTCGACTTTGGGGGTTTGCAGTTGCACTTGAAATCATTAGTTCGCAGGCCCGATCTACCTGTGCGCGTGTTTGGGGGCAACCTGGCTGCTTTATGATCGCCAGCATCACTTGTCCGCATCGCCCTCGTCACCTGCTCCCATTGCTGCTTTTTGGAAGTGTAAAAAGCCCAGTTGCGAAACGAGCAATAAGCGGCCCGAAAGCATAACATATAGCGAGCGCGGCGAACGATGTGACCCTTGGCTCTGCGTACGATCTGGAGTCCCTCAAGGGCACTGCAACGCAAAATCTAATGCACGTGCTTTCTTGCGCAAGTGTGCTCGTGCGAGTTTGATCGGGCAAGTGTGCTCGCGCGAGATTGCTCGCACGAGCGCGATCGTGCAAGCGCGTATGTTGCTGCGCGCGAACGCTTTGTGCAGGGTTGCTGCGCCAAGCACACGTGCTCTGCGTACGTGCTTTGCGCAGGCATGCTGCGCGAGCTGCTCTGAGGGAGTTGCTCTGCTAACGCGCTCTGCGCATGCGCAGTTGTTGAGAGTTGTTCTGCGCAAGCGCTCTGCGCAAGTTGGCGCGCGCAAGTTCTCGGTGCAAGTTTCTCTGCGCTCTGCGCAAGTGCGCTGTGCAAGTGCTTTGCTCTGCGCAGGTCGCTCTGCGCAAGCGCGCTTTGCGCAAGTTGCTGCGCGCGCCTCGCTCTGCTCAAGTGCTCTGCGCAAGTTGCACTTCGCAAGTGCTCGGGCCAAGTGCTCTGCGCAAGTTGCTCTGCACAGGTGGCTCTGCGCACGTGCTCTGCGCAAGCGCGCTTTACGCAAGCGCTCTGTGCGCAAGCGCTCTGTCACAAGTGCGCTGCACGATTTGCGCTCTGCGCAGGTGCATTCCGAAGATTGCTCTGCGCAGGTTCCCTGCGTGAGATCAACCACGCCGATCCCCGCGAAGCGGGCAAAGCTTTTGCACATCGACCGCGCCGATCCCCGCAGAGGGGGGTCGCGCGGGCAAATCCAAAAGTAGTAAAAGTCGTCCAGCTTTTGCACATCGGCGGTCAGGGTTGAGGAGCGGGGCAGTTGTTCCAAAGCTGAGCTGTTTTTCACGACAGCACACGCGCGCATGCACGAGCGCACTTGCACACGCACTTGCATGAGCGCACTTGCGCGAGTGCACTTGCACGAGCGCAAACTCGCGAGAGCACACGCTCGCGCGAGCGCACTTGCCCGAGAAAGCTTGCACGGGAGATTAAAGTGTTTTTTTGGCGGCGAGGCGGGCTTGCGGGACCCTTCCAAGCGGTTGGAATCCTTTCCCCGAAAACCCGTCTCAAAAACTGCTTTGAGACCAATTGCCTGGCAAATCTGCCGCAAGCCAGCAACCCTCCGTCCTTGCCGATGGCAGCTGTCGTATTGCCTGCGGCATCCAGTGCATCAGTACGTCGACGCACTTCTGGGTTGAAGAGAGCCATCTCCTGAGATGCAATGGGTGTTGCGCGTCCTTGTCTTTCTAGATCCCTCTCGCGCGAGCTGAGTTGTCGGAATATCTCCAAGGCGCAGCGATCCCGCCGGCGTTGTCAGAGATGGGTCCGAAGCCATCGATGGTGAGACCGCAGCTGAGGGTGGCCAGCATGCCCAGAGCGGCCAGGGCGATGCCGTAGAGGTCGCAGAGCTGGAAGGACACAAAGATGCCCGAGGACAGCACGAAGACGGGGATGATGCAGCTCTTGTAACCCAGCGCAAGACCTACAGTCGAAGTCTTTGTCTCAGAAGTCTCACATGATATGTGCTTTGAGCAAGGGCCTCTAGCTTTACTTCCGGCAGAGCTGCCCTGGATGATGTTCACGGCAGTGCCGAACTTGCACGCCGCAGCCAGCTCGCGCGTGGGGATGTAAGAGTGGGAAGTGAAGTACCTCACTGCCCACTGCATTGCACACCATCAAATGTGCGTGAAATACCACGGCATCATCAATGCTTCAGGTCGTGCTTCCAACTGTTGTGTTGAACTGTTCCTTCTATTATCGTGATTCCTCACTAAGTAAAATCAAGGGTTCTCATACCGTAAGGTCGTCCGCCCCCAAAAGGGTGCTGTGTGATGCCAATGATCCCGCAGTTGCATTATTGGATCAGGTTGCTCAGTGACCAAACCGATGATGAGGCCACCAACGCAGCCCATGGTGGCGCAAATGAACGCCTAAGGCAGCCGGATGGCTCGGCATTGCTTGCAAGCGGAAACACTGTAGCTGTCCATTCTTGGAGGAAACAATGGCACCGGTGAATGATTAGAAGTTGTCTGAAACCAGCTGAGACCAAGGACTCCTTGCACCCGCGCCTTGAAGGGGCTGCCATGGATCTTGGCCTGAGCGCCTGTCTCGGTCAGGCGCACGCCCTCCA